TGCATTAAATTCTGTTTTTACTGCCTATCTTATCGTAACATTTTCATACCACCAAATATGACAGAATATTTTGAATGCAAACTTCCATAGCACATTAGAAGTGCTGAATCCGAACACAAAATTTAGACCACTGACAACTGGGTGCGCGAGGAATTGAAATGGGCTTTTTAGAAAACTATTGAAAATTTACAATAAGTTCGAAACATCCTGTTCATGCATTAAATTGGGATTGAGAAAACTACAATATGATAAAGAGATAGCCAAATTTCTATCGAAAGGGAGGCTGTTAATGCCAACAAATGGACCCCTTGACGATGGAGAAAAGACGTCAAATGAAAAAATGCTTTAAGACTCTATAAGCAAGAGAAAGAAAATAAAAAGGAATGACATGAACCTAAGAGAATTGTTAGAACACATTCCCACAGCTCCTACCCAGCGCTACGAATTTTGGGCTTTATAAACCTTCAAAGCGAGTGTTGAAAAACAGATCAAGCAAGGTAGTGAAAGGCAATGAGAATGAAGTCAACCATTTTAACAAGAAACGCTATTTGTTTCCAATTCACTACTTTACTTAATCCTTTTCTTTCGGACACTAAACTTTCTCTACAATACTTGTTACTTGCTTGCACACATATCTGGAAGAACTGTGGCTAGGTCAAGTTGTAGTCCAAGTTAACAGTATTTACCCACTTATTTCTCTCACCTACTTAGAGCCATTCATCACAACACGAGTCGATTTTGCATACCTCCCGAGATCCCTTCAACTCGTTCCTACTGTCAACAAAGGCCTCACTGTGCTCAAACGGGCTATTCTAGCAACCGAACGAAATAGTATGTTGGAAGCCTATTTAACGCCCTATGCATATTTTAGCAAAACTTGGCATGTAAACCATAAAGAAGCTAAAGGGCTAAGCTGCAGGGAAACATAGCAAATAACAGCAATGAAGAAAATGAGCGAAAAACCCAAAACGAAAAGCGAGAACCACTCACTTGAAATAGTATCGCAGACTGAAGGAGATTATGACTAGTGGATATCCTATACAATGCGCACCGAAAAATGAATTTAAACTCCGTGGTATTACTGGTGCCAATCCTTGCGTTTGTAAACAGCTTGCTGCAAAATCTAGGAAATGATCACGCAATTAATTATGCAAAGAACTAGCTTGGATGAAAATAAAGCAGCGCTTTGTTTTGAAACTCACGACAGAGGTAATGAAGGAACGGCACATCTGAACCGACAATTTCAAGATGAAAACACCTTAAAGGAATCTCATTACCGATATTTCGGCCATTAATAAGTACAAAGTTCTTCAAATAACAACCAACTTTAATCGTATTCCCGCCTCAAATGCAACAATAAATATCCAAAAAACTAGTGCAGAGAAACATTGCTTTTCTGAAAAGAAAACTGCTGAAATTCGAGATGAACATTGTAATGGAAAAAAGAAGGCCTCACTTCAACCAGAAAGGCCAATCACACGAAATAGTCTAAACCCTTTTTTCGGCTCACCGTGAATCATGGCGGATAACGTCCGCAGAAAGCCACCATGCGTATGCCAAATGACGTGCACCCAAACATAGGTGCTGGCAAGAAACACCAAAAATTTTACTGGTATGAATAAGTAGCAGATCAAATCTGATGTAGCCGTGACACAAACGAATAACACGGAGAACTTCTGGAAAAAGATGTATTGAATTCTTTCAAGCAACTAACTTCCTTAAGGGAGATATGTTCAACTCCTTATGAAAACATAAAGATAGAGGTGATCATCAGTTAAGCATACGGGAAAACAGAGATGTTCTAACAATCGAATAAACATGATGAAAATAACTTTCAGCTAGGTCACTCCATCAAACCCGAGATGAAATGAGCAAAAATTTCCCCTGACCAGATATTCGTAAAAGCAGCAAAGAACAAGGGAGCCATTGAAAAGCAGAAACAGCTGCTGTAATAACATTTTGTGCAAAGTGCTGACTACCCGACTACTTCTTCACACAAATGGCTGAGATAAGTTTTACATTGACAAAAGACACAGTAAAAACCGAATGAAATGGAAACGAACCGCTGTGTTATGATTCGCCAACGTGACGACAGCGTTGTGATTTTTGTGAACGGCTTCATAGCCGGTGCGTAGAATGAGCCAAAATGGATAGAGTAGCTCGAAGCGAAATCCGCACAGCATATCGAGCGATATAACACCGATCCATAGTAGCATTAGGCGGACATAGATGATTGGTGTGGCGATGCTAAAAAATTCAACTATTTCTCTTAATTACGAAATGAAACAAAATGGAGGCGCAACTTTCATGACAGCATGACAGACCTTTCAGGAATCCGTCTTTCATTTAAATCTACTATTTTCAGTTGAATCTGCACTCAAACTGCTGCATAACAGTCGGGCAAACGAAAATTTGCCGGACTGTTATAAAGTCATGGGGGCCTGTCCTTCACCCAAGTGGTATTGTGGATAAATTGAACGGTTGTCTACCATGCGACATTCGCCGAGCAATGCTACTACAACGGTCGGTTTTAGCCCTCCAACATATGGCCTGAGAAGCGGGGTCTGCCTTGCCATGCCAGGATATTGTATTCTTTTTGCTTCTTTGAATTTCTCAAGCACTGCTCACTCTTCACCAGCTCGGACAAATCGATGATCAACCAGATAACAGGTGATACAGGTGACAGGTGATTCTATGAGTTTAAAAACATTACTAATAAACGTCAAGAATTGTGTTGAAAATAAGTTATTCGAATGAAACGCAAAGAAGGCTTCAAGACTAGCGCTCTCTTCAATCCAGAGCTTGATCCTCGAACTGCGCGGGTTTTTACATAACAACGTAGCGTTTTTTTCCTACATGTAAGTTCAATCTATGGCTGCTCTACAAGGGAAACTATTCACTTTTCAAGTACCTTTTCTGCGCCACAATTCTATGCCGTTGATAGGGTCGACTATCTGAAACAGATAGGAAAATGGAGTACCGAGCGGGAAAATGCGGCGTCAAGAACTGTCATTCTTCGGTGTTTTCAAACAGACAAAAATGCTGCTCTGGGGAATTTGCGCCGTATCTGAAGAGTGCCACAAACGAATCAATTCCCGGACAGAGGTTCACCGGGGTAAGAAAAGGGTGACTTCTGATTCGATGTACGCCGCACTAGAAAACCGTATTTGATGGTAAAAGTGGAAGCTAAATGAATAGCTGCAAGAACCACTAGTGGAGAGCAAGTCGTTAATAACTACCTTTACGCAACTTCAGGTGTGCCATTCGAACCAAGGATTGCAATGACTGTGCAGAACAAAAAAGGTGCGATATTACCAACCAACAAAATACTTGGCCATCCCTGATTATAATCTTCCTAGCGTTAGTCCCCCCGCAGCACAAGGTCCTCTGCACAATAATTGCTGATTTTTGATTTCGTAAAATCATTTGGTCACCCAATGTTAACTAGTGACCGACAAGGTCTAGACTTTCTTTGAGTTTGAAAAACTGCTTTTAAAACATTTGAGTGGAGCAAGGCACCTTAGTGCGTCAACAACCGAGGAGGCAGGGAAGGACATTAAAGCATGTATAGTACTTCTATTCGAATACAGCAGGGGTGCAGAAGGCAACGAGGTAGAGGATGGTTTCAATATAAAAAAATACGAAGTCGACAATAAGTCAAATCCATGGCAGAACAAAATCAAAAGACTTTAGAATAATAAAAAAAAACCGACAATAATTATCAAAAATTACACTAGAGGTTCTTGAAACTATAAGATAATAGGTGTAGTAAAAGTGAGATTACGTAAATATCAGTACTTGTCAACTAATAAATCCAATAAGACAAATCTTGTAACAAGAAATTTTACTGACGAGGAACAGCTAGCGAATTTACCTCTAGACCGTAAAAAAACAAGAATATTATTGCAAAACTTCCAAACTCTTTTAGAAGGCAATGAACTTTTTCATCACTGCCATTGCATCATCATTTAAAAATGCAATGTTTTAAATTAGACACTGTGAGAGGACTGTACGCTACTGAAACCTGCCTCCCCGCCCGTATGAGCTTTTCTGCGCACGCCACGTTACATGGAAGATCCTTGGCAGCAATTTTTGGACTGAGAATCATACAGTTTATTATTTTTTAGAAACGCTCATAGCCCATTCATGTCATAACATCTGAAAACTGTTGGTAGGTGACACCAGACCAAGCCCAGGAGAGGGGAGAAATGCCAGGTTCAAGAAGGGTTACTCGCATCTTCCAGAATTCCTCCCCCCTAACGACATGAGCGCCTTTTTATTTTATCATACAAACTATTTTGTTAAGCAATCACGTCGTTCATAATCCGGCTTCCTGCTAAAAAAAAAACTCCCTTTAACTTACTACCTGAATTTCAATCAATAAAAATGAACACTGATAAGTTCCGAAATGAGTTCGCCTTGCTCATCGCAATCAATAGCTTGCTTTGTGTTGACGATCCATTTACACCTCAACGGAACTCACGATTCCAAAACAAAACCAAGACCACTACTATGGAGTTCGATATCGCTAGCATTCGACGTCATCAAGGACAGCATGGGAGCTGCGAGATAGCAAGAAAAAACTTGAAAGAATTGAGTTTAATCGTGCGCGTGTTAGTAGGAAATGACCTAAATTCGGGAAAAATATTAACGCGAGCAAAGATGTGGCAAGGTTGGACGCAAACGCGTCAAAAAAAAGTAGTAATTACTCAACATTCATTGATAAGGTCAGCGACAAAGTCCTGCCAAACCACTGCTATTTTTCTTTTTTGATCCCTCTACTTTGCAATTCGGATAATCAACCAATAGCATGTGATTTAATCATCGCGAATGTGAGCTAGTACTTCTTCTCTTTGATAATAAGAAGTTTCAAGCATAAACATTCCTTCTACAAAAGCTAAGAATAGGATGACGTGATAATTGAAGATAACGCGATCGTTTTCCCAAAATGTGGATGGGTAATGCACAAAAGGAGAAGCTTTTTATTGTCTTCAGCTGTATTATCCAAGCGCAATGGCCAACATCTTTAGGTCGGATGAGCGTCATAATCCTGCTTTGCAAGAAGAAAAGAGGGAACAACATTGTTTACACCTTTCGGGAATAGCAAAGAAATGTTCTCGACTTAACAAGCGCTTCTATTGAGGCTGCAACCCATCTACTTTCTGATGGCAAATGATGTTGCCGTAGTGATCGCAGCTTCCACTCGCAACAACCGAGAATTCATTCTGAAGTGTTTTGAAGCTATCAGAGAGGCACGATCTGACAGATTTGGAGGATCCCTTGGGTTGCATTGCAAATATCGAATGCGCAGCTAGCCGAATTTTTTGACATCTTGCATGGATATTTACAAGATTATGTATGCACCCCAACTCATGTCACTGGCTTGACACTTACGAGATCATTTAATGAAAAGCAATAGCGGCGGTTGTATATTAATAGAGGGGTATGAAACCGGAAGATTTTGGAATCGTGTTTCGACTGGCAATCAGATAAAAAAAGAACGCGTTAGGTTTTCCTCAGACTTAATAGCAAATATGATATCGTTAGGATCTTAGTACAAGCCGGTAGCGACTTGTATAATGGGAGAGAACTGCCCCAAAAGTAACCGGACGGTCTATTGCCAGTTAGGGGGGCATCATGATGCAGCTTCTCGGCGAACTAGTGTGAACTCGAACATTCCAGCTTTTCACGCATGTCAAGTGACTGCCCTCACCCCCACCCCCTAGAACTGGCTACACTCCCCTGGCTCGGAGTTACCCTAGCTTTCTGGAAAAACTGCATCATGATGCCCCCTAACTGGAATAGGATCCCAGCTATTCCCCGCAAGGTACTTCAGTTTGAAATATCTTCCCGCGCGCGGAAATTTGAATGGACTATGTGCGCGCACTGACGTTGCGACGGCCTGGCCATCTCCAATCGGCCTTTGAGACACATTACTTTATTCTGCTGTGTTATTCCTAGTAGCTTCTGTTCCATTCTGTACCGGTACGTGTCCTATTTTGTGCCGTTGCTATTCTGCTATTACTTACAGCGAATCTGTGCTGTCTTGCCCATGGGAAAGGATAATACCGCAGGTAAGCGAGTTCATACCAGTCCTCCTCTCGAGATTCACACTCGATGTTGTGGGCTTGCATCGACACAACCCTGGTGTGAGTTCCAAGAGGGACTGAAACCAGCTTTTGGCAACGAAAACATTGTTCTCCGCTTTTCTTTCATATACAAGTCTATTCCTCATACATTTGTGCTGAGTTTGCCACATTGCGCCTAGTTTAGGCAGGCGCAATGTGGCAAACTCAGCACAAATGCTCCGGCCGGAAATTTGCTTTCAGACTCACAGATTTGCTCAGTTCTGGGACTAAGCTTTGGAAGAGGAGAGGGAATCCGAGTTGCGTAAGTAATTTTCATTCGCTCCGGAACCCGTCCCTGTGGGTTGTGCTTAGTTCTAATAACCTTCCAACAGACTGGCTACCCCGGAGGCACATTGCGCCGGTAGCTATTTCACTTGTAAGCTGTATTTGTAAGTGTAGTCGATACGGATTGCCCTCAATTATCGGTCAGGTTTGGTAAGTATCAGAAGGCATTTCCGATGACACATGAATAGTGAGCTAGCAGGCTGGGGAAATCGCTCAGGCAAAACAATCACAAGGGATCGCGTAGCAGTTTTTTCGCGACCACTTAGGAAAACACGAAAGAAAACTGGTGAAATGAGTGCATTCTACCTACGCCACATAGGATACATGAACATGGCCTGTGGACATACTCTCGGACATTCACATCAAACATGCACGAAAAACAGGAACAGTGAGACAAGATTGCGATAACAGGGTAAAGTGAACAAGTTATTCTATTTAGGAGCTTAGTGGAAGTTAAAAGTGGTATTCGTTCTCTAGTCTACTGAGTTACTCGTTCTTAAAAGAAGCGGCTTTAGTTCCCTCTTGAAACTCACACCAGGGTTGTGTCGATGCAAGCCCACAACAACCAGTGTGAATCTCGAGAGGAGAACTGGTATTATCACTCGCTTACCTGCGGTATTATCCTTTCCCATGGGCAAGACAGCACAGATTCGCTGTAAGTAATAGCAGAATAGCAACGGCACAAAATAGGACACGTACCGGTACAGAATGGAACAGAAGCTACTAGGAATAACACAGCAGAATAAAGTAATGTGTCTCAAAGGCCGATTGGAGATGGCCAGGCCGTCGCAACGTCAGTGCGCGCACATAGTCCATTCAAATTTCCGCGCGCGGGAAGATATTTCAAACTGAAGTACCTTGCGGGGAATAGCTGGGATCCTGGAAATAGACCCGTAATCCGTTCCAAGAAACAGTAATGAGCAAAAAGTAGCACGTACGGAAATATAGCCGTGTTCCCGCGGGAGCGAGGTTGGAGAGGGACTGTCGTAATTGCAGGCTCAGTCGCCCAAATAGTGAGGCCTCAAGAAAAAAGATATGACGTGAGCTTTTCAGTGTTCCTTATGTATCTCGTGCCACGTGAGTACCAAGTCTGCAATTATGACCATGCCATTGCAGGACGGAAACAGAGTTTGACATGGGCTAGAAGTATGTTTTCTAACCATACACCTCTACCCAATGTAAGTGAAACTAGAAAAACCTACAAGAAAAGATGCAAAATTAGGTTGCCTAATTAATTTACAGCATGCGAAAATTCCTGCGCTGCGCTGCAGAATTGAAGGAAAGTGCAAACGGTGCATATTGATCAGGGCGTTGAGGAAGAGCTGTCGCCATGCTCATTCTTCAGTGGCCTTGAAACACATAACCGATATGATGGACAACATTCATGACAATGGGATTGGGTTTAAGAGTTGAGCTCATGTGACATCACGATTAAGCCTCTCTTAGGCATTTTCACCGCTTATGCACGATTAGCAACGCCTTCATGAAATGAAATTATTTTAAGCGATGGACCTTACGGATACTTCAAGCGTTCAAAGAGCCAGCAGTCCTGTTTTATGGAAAGAGCGCCTATCCGCCCTCGCCTAGTTCCTACCATCAACATACTTACCCCCATAAGAGCATCGCGATCGACGCCTTTATGTACCTACGACGGATTTCGCAATCGTGACGCGTCACGAAGATACTGTAGCGTCGAGCACGCATGAATTTCAATTAAAACCACCGTACCCGTATATACGAATCAGCTCCCTATCGAATGTTATGCTCAACGCGGCAATGAGTCCATAATTACAGCTGACTGCTTCAACGCGCAGAAAGTCATTATCAATCCATGTGAATGATGTTCGGGATCGATTCTTTCGCTAGCATTTGTTGACAACGCAACCATAAGCCACTTCTTGCAGCTTTAATTAGCATTGGAGACCAAGGAAAATGTGGTCAAGGACGAAATATCTACTTTTTAACAGTAAGGCCGTCGCAGTCGTTATGGACGCAATCGGTTCATTCACGGAAACGTGAATAGTGGATCTTAGAGAATCAGTCAAGCGGATAAGTAAATCACTCTCGCCTTTACGCTTTCCTTCTACACATACAGCGCCATGGCCTTGTTCAAGAGACCGCATAGCTTCGCTCCTTCGCCGAAATTTAAATCCATTGGGAAATACCAGTCTTAAGTCACTGCTCAGAATGGTACTCATCAGTAAACGTACTCATTGACTAAAATACATGTGAAAATCTTTCAAACAACACAACATGAAGAAGTTTGTCAAAAAGCCAAGAGAAAGCATAGGTAACAAGATATTCAAGCCCTCAAAAAAGATGCTATATTCATCGTTAAAAAAAGAATGGGTGCTCATTGGGTCCATTATTTAGTTCAAATGCAGTCACTCTAAAAACTTTCTATTCAAATTCATTTCGGAAACAATTTGGTACGACAAAAAAAAGCAGACGGAGCGACTATTGAAATGATTACTTGTTGTCAATCTGACTATACGGTAAGGTAGGGAAATTACTACCAAGCGGGTCATGGCCAGAAAAAAAAATAGAATAAATTGCTTCAGCGTCCCAAATCTCCACCGCAATACTATACCGTGCTCCATTTAATCTAAATCTACTCCAATTAAAATTAAAGGGATGGCAAATGAAGACTGTAGCTGATTCAGCTGACAATAGTATGTCAATTGCTGTGACTCCATGCGACTACACAACCGACGTGTCTGTTCCGCACTTGGATTGCAAGTCGAGCTACAATGTACGATTCGACCAACTTCATCAGAGGCAGCCAATGTGGTTAGGTACCTTCCCTTCAAAAAGACGGTGTCGGTGCAAGACCATACACCACAAGTGACGACGGCTTCCACAAAATGCGAAATGTTTTTCGCCAATGAAATGATTAACCTGTTACAGTTGTATTCGATCAGTTGACACTAATTACAACTATCATTTACTAAAAATCAGCTATCACTATGAACCACTACTAACCAGATTTACTTGGAGGCCGTCGTCACTTGTGGTGTATGGTCTGCACCACACTTTCTGGCTTTTTGAAGGGAGGGTACAATTGCTCATCATAGACCCAATAAAAGACGAATAAGCATTCAACAACGGAAGATTGATGCGCCTGAAGTTCCACTTCCCTATTAATTATTTTGATGTTCACTTGTTTATGTTGACTTGTTTATCCGTTCATTAAATAGCGAGCCCACCGACCGTATTTAAGACCCTACGGTGCTGAGTAACCTAATCCCGCCAGGGGCAAAAAAAAACCTTCAAACCAAAAAAAAACTTAAATGGCCCTGGACAGTATTCCCCATTGAGCCCGAAATCTGAGAGAAAAATTCTTCAAAGGCGGACCAGGACATTGAGAGAGTTATGTTGCCGCTCCCAAACGAAGAATGATACGGAGGGATGGTAAATACCGTTACCTCCTCCACGAAAAATTTGGACTTGCAATTACGTCGAGCAATATCCTCCCATCCTGAGCGGGAAAAAGCAGAATATCGCACCAAGACAAAACTTAGAAGAAAATAGGTCGCGATTCAACTCCCAGTCAGTCAACTTTTTGTCGTATTTCTTTGGCAATTTCAAATATATCACCTACGAACGCAGCCTTTCTTAATTCGATCATGCATCAACTAACTTAGCACCACATATACCACGAAACCGGATACAATTCACACACTCACAAAAAGACACTCGGGAGCAAATCGACATACTGTTAGAAAAACATGACGGATCCGACAATCGCCGCCATATGAGGTCAGCAATTCATCAATTTGCGGCACCTCCGATTACTGGTTTGTCCGAATTTTTTGAATGAAGCATGAGAAAAGTCTTAAAACCTGATGGACTATAATGGACGGTTTGTTCTTAGTTTTTATATAAAGCAATTAAGATGGCTTGAGACTATATCAGGCTATATAAGAAAAAAGACCGAAATTAAGCACCTGTCTCTGATTGGATCTGTCATGCGGCCACCACGGCCCTTCATTGTGCGGCGTAGCTTCTGCGATTCGACGGCCCGCGCGCGTTTCTGCATGACTGAAATACAAATTGATAAAGAAGTCTGCGAAATCACTCCATAAACGAGACAAAATGGCGGTAATCAACGCGACTAATGGCCCAAAAACGACAACATTACGCAACATAACATAACGCTGATTGTTTGTGAGACCGATAAAAGTATGTAGCTGCACCCATTCTCTTCGCTGAAATGTACAATCAATTCATGTGTGTGACTGTGACTGCACACATGGCGCAAAACAAAGACGCGAAAAGGCAAAACAATACAAACACCTATAATCAACACGGTGAACGCATAATCAGCCTATGACGACGACGGCGACGACAACACACAAAACCCAAAGCCTTGAATAGGCATGAAAATCCTTCTGCGTCAAGAACGACAGATAACTTTCGACATACTGGGAGATTTCCCCTCATCTTTAGACACTTGGTCGGTCACAGTGAACGCTTGGAGTCGTTTCACTTCTATTTTTCGCGATACACTTCATAGTTCACCTGTGGAACTCCTCAGGCCACCCAGAAGGGCAGCAAGCAGGCGCTCGCGTGCTCCCAGTTGAGTTGGTGAAACATCGATATTCACGGCTGACACGTGATGTTTTGAACAAATAGCGGTTTTCTTTGCACTAACGGATTTTTCAATTGGAAAACACGAGCTCGGCCAGTGATCGCATAAAGAGCTGACTACTAAATATGCAAAGGGTCGATAGAATAAAAAGTGAACCCAAACAAACAAAAAATGAAATCATAGGAGAAGGAATTAGTACATGAAAACATGACAAGTGCAAGTATCGATCCCGTGACGTTGTGTGGATCGCTTCACTTTTTTTCTGAACGGCACTTAAACGACTGAAAACCGGAAAGATCGACCACCTTCCATAAATCCTACCGTCTTCGTTCTACCTCCTCTCCGATTGTTAAGCTTTAAATTGCTTCACCTACTGGGAAGCAATTCAAACGAGGTCTCAAATGTGCAATTCAGTAGTTCCAATATATTCAGCAAGTCACATAAGGAGGGTCGCTGGGTTATCTAGAGCCTAATGGATACAGTAAAAAAAAAACGGCTAAAGATGGCTTGGAAAGCTCGCAACCTCATCGAAATGCTCGCTTTCTAATCAATTCACTTTTATCTATCAAATATTCTAGAGAAAACTCATCGATTCGACGTGAATCACTTCTCAACGAAAACTGATTTCCTTTAAGATTTCACAAAGAATCAAATTGACTCATTTACGTTGAACCCAGATAGAAGGGAAAGTACCTTCCCAACAGTTCCGACTGCGTTCCTTGACCAAATGGATAGGAGCGGAAATGAGAAATCACATGTGCCAACGTCACATTTTTGATAAGGAAGCATATCACTGGGCTTAATTACTGAAATAACCCACAAAATATTGATTGCGTGCAATTCGCTGTGTGCCGGAGCAGCGGATTCTTTGCAGATCATAAGACCTCCCCAATAAACTTGTTACAATGCAGAAGGACCGATGAAGTTGAAATTCGCAAAACAGACTTCGTGCGATCAATAATGAAAACAAGGTTGGGGCAGTCGACAAGTAAAATGCCCGATATATGTTTTTTTTTTACAATATATGTCTGATGAAGCAATGAAATGAAAACCAGGTAAGTTGCTGAAACAGAAGACTTCCAAAAAATTCAATCGTTTGTAAAAGGGCGTAATTTTGAAAACAATGTTATTATGGGTTTGATCAAAGGATGAATAATCGCTCCAAAAATCAAAAAGGATTCCTGACGCTGCCACAGTAGGAGATTACAATTTAGGCTCGGGTTTCGGGATTGTAAAGTAACAGCTGAACATGGCTATCACAGTTCAAACTGGCGCAACTAGCACCACCTAAATGGATCAGATCGCATCATTGAATGGTATTCAATTTGACTCTTAGCCAAAGTTACGGAAGGAAAATCAGTAGAGGAGCTCTTTCATCGCTTTTCCGCTTCCAGAAGTATATCCACAGTAAGGCTGGTGTCAGAGTCCGCGATCCGTCGCAGGTTTCGCTGATTTTCGCGATTTGCGCGATTCACGCGACGGGTCACGGAAATCACAAGTGCCCGATCAATACTGCAAGT